TCTCCCAAGACCTAAGGTTCCTAATCCAAGTAGACAAGTTACGTGTGTAAGTAGTTTTTCATCTCAGATTTTTCTTGACCTAAAAAAAGACAATTTTTAGAGTTAACCAGGCACCAAATACTTACAAATACACACATATTTTTTTTCTATGAATTCCAAATTTTAATCTACGGTGATATAGAAATAGATGAGAATTGAGAAGTTGGACCATGGAATGTGGTGGAACTGGAAGTCAGATTTAGCCACTTCTAACTCCTTAACTTTTTCCACAGTTGGCCAGCGCACCTGTTTCAGAAGGGCTATGCACCCACGACAGTCAAAAACATGTTGACCAATGTGGTCATGTTCCTCAGACACACCGAGAACTCATTCGAGAAGGCTAGTAAGCTCAAGAAGAAAGACTTCGCGACACTTCAGTATGAAATTAAGAGAATCATGGCTGATGTCCAGAAAAAAATGGTCGTCCACCGGCAGAAAGTCCTACGCCATAAGACAGGTAAATGTTTTCAGTTTTTTTCAGTCCGGTATTCTTGGCTTTATTGAAATCAAATTGTATGTCTCATATATGTATATATATATATATATATATATATATATATTGTCATCTAAATACATGCATGTCACACTGTTTTTACAGACAATCAGCTTGGTGCAGTCGAAGAAAAGAAATTCATGATTACTGCCAGGAAAAAAATTCCTAAACTGTTTGGTAAGTAGACGTCATTATTTACGTTGTACTCTTTCTTCTTCAGTAGGTTGCATTCTTAACTGTATCTTTCTGTGTATATCTTTGCATGTTTTGTAGAAAGCTTAGCCGGCAATGGAAGTCAGCAGAATGAGCATTCCAAGCTCATTGGCTACATAATGGGCTACCTGTCCATGCTCACTGGACACAGATCCATTGTACTCACTAACATGACCAAGGAACATGTGATGAACTTTGAGACGTGGGATCATGGCAAGAAGTTCCATGTTCTGGTTAGTATTTATTTAGGTGTGGTGGGTCCAAGTAATGAACTTTTCACTGGTTAAATTAAGATTAGTGTCTTTGTTGAAGTCAGCATTTCATAGTCATATAAGCTACAAACACCAGTCACTGGAGATTTGTTTCACTCATTTAAAGTCCACCTATCCACAGAAATAATTTCATTTTCTTGATTTTATATCCTAAGGTGGATGACCACAAAACCGTGAGGTCATTTGGCCAAGCTGCATTTTCCCTCAACAATGAGGAGTTTACGTGGCTTGAATGCCTGACCAATGGCAAGTGCTGTAAGCCAGGCCAGGCCAGCAAGTATGTGTTCCATACAGTGCTTGGCAAGCAGATTCAGAAGCCGCTAAACTTCCTCCATCTGGCTTGGGTGGATGCTAGAATGCAGGGGACTGTCAGCTTCAACATGATCTGGAGCAGCGTCTCTACTCAAGTAAGAACTTAATATAAGTTGGAATCTGGCCATAGTTTTTAGAATTTGGAAGTTGTAATTCATCCATAGATTAGAATTTGGAAGTTGGAATTTGTCTATAGATTACAATTTGGAAGTTGGAGATCAGTGGCATTGGATTTGAATTTGGAAGTTTGAATCCTCAACGTGGGGGCTAGAATTTGAAGTGAGATTATGTTGATGGTTGCATGTAGGTAGAAGTAACAAATTTAGTGTACACGCATTTTAGAGACTGTTGAGTGGATGTCATAAGTTTATTGAGAGCGTTGATCAACACTGTTGAGACACATTTTCTAAAAGGACTGTTTTCATATCACAATTTTATAAAAATTTCTTTGTTTGGGTTTCCAGGCCAACAAATACCTCTCTGAAAAGGAGAGGAAGCAGGTGGCAAAACATGTGCCATGACCCCAGCACAGCAGAGCGATTTTATGTCACTCTGCCAGACAAAGTGATGGGGTATGAAACCAGAAAGTTGCGAATGAAAGCCTTGCAGAGTGCTGCTGCCAGCCCCCCTCCAGATGACAAAAGTGATGACGATGAACTCATCTTAACTGATACATCAGAGACAAGCTCAAGTGGTGAGGAACCTGTGTATGATGATCGACCAGAGTCAAGCTCTTCACTGTCTGATGAGGAGTTGAAGAGCAGGCGTCAAAAACGTGAGAGTTCTCCACAGGGACATGGAGTGAAAGTCAGTTTTGAAGTTTTCTCTTTGTCAGAGGATGAGCTCCCATCATGTCAAAATCAGGAGACCAGAAGGAGGTTGGATTTCCCACCTATATCCAAGAAATCGAAAGTCGCAAAGAATCATGTGGACATCTACATTCACTCACCTTCAAAGTGCTCGGTGATTGTTGACAAATTGAAGCAACCCATTGCAGACTATTTTTTAGGGAAAATGACCGCCACCAACCCCATTATCAGACAGAGGGAAGGTTTTGAGCAAGCACCTCTCGCTGAGCCGGACAGTGTGCAAGCACCCCCTGTTGAGCAGGCTCCAAGGGGTGCACCAGCGCCCCTCATCCTCACACAGGAGACAGCTGAATGCATGAAGGAAACCCCAGCAGGGCTGCTGACAGAAACCCCTGCCGGGGAGAATGATGTCTGTGTTCCTGAGCCCCAAAATGAGATGACACTTGAGTGTGTGGATGAAACGCCCGCTGAGAACGTGCCAGCAACCCCAGCCGGGGAGAATGACGTCTGTCTTCCTGAGCCCCAAAATCAGATGACACTTGAGTGTGTGGATGAAACGCCCCCTGAGAACGTGCCAGCAACCCCAGCCGGGGAGAAGGAAGTCTGTGCTCCTGAGCCCCAAAGTCAGATGACACTTGAGTATGTGGATGAAACGCTTACTGAAAACATGCCACCAACCCAATTCTGGAGTGAGGAATTGTGAGTTGCAGGGGCGAGAAAACAAAAAAGAGCACCAGCTGTATCCAGCAGGGCAGGGCACCAGCATGGAAAAAGTGATCGCATGGTGAGTTAGGGTCATTACATTTGTTTATCAGGCACCCTTCAAGGCACTCTATTGTATGTTTTGTTCACTAGAAGGGCACGTTTGATGGCACTTTTTCTGTTTTGATCAATGAAAATGCACCCTTTGGGGCCTTTTTAAAAAATGTTTTGTCCACTGGAAGGGCATGTTTGAGGGCACTTTTTCTGTTTTGATCAATGAAAATGCACCCTTTAGGGCCTTTTTTAAATGTTTTGTCCACTGGAAGGGCACATTTCAGGGCACATTGTTTTGTTCATGTTGAGGGCTCTGCAATTTTGGTCGTCCTCAGTGTTTTTTTTTTTTTTTTTAGTCATGTCAAAAGAAATAAATGTTTCTAATAGTGTTTTGCATATTTGTCTCCGCTTCCTGCTTTGAGTTTTGATAAAATTCAAGAAAATGTACAAAGAATTTTGTTAAACTTTCAAGACCACTGAACAGCCATATAGAAATCCTAGAGCACTCTCAGAGAAACATGTTCCCAGGGAAGGGTTGCTGCATCAAAGACAGGTTGTGTGTCAGTCTAGGTACATATTATGATGAGTTATGAAGCCAGAAAGTGCTTCCAAATTCTCATCTATGGGGGTGCTTGTAGATGCAAATCTGGAAGAATTTCAAAGGCTGATATTTCAAAGACAGTGGGAGGTAGCAGACTGATTCCAATCAGAAATGGAAGCTTGGAGATTGCTGCATCAAACACCGGTTTCTGTGTCAGTCTAGGTACATGTAATGATGAGTTATGAAGCTGGAAAGTGCTTCCAAATTCTCATCTATGGGGGTGCTCATAGATGCAAATCTGGAAGTATTTCACAGGCTGATATTTCAAAGACAGTGGGAGGTAGCGGGCTGATTCCAATCAGAAATGGAAGCTTGGAGATTGCTGCATCAAAAGCAGGTGGCTGCATCACTCTAGGTAGATGTAGTGATGAGTTATGAAGTCGGGAATTGCTTCCAAATTCTCATGTATGGGGATGCTCATACATGCTCATACTCTGCAATTTTGGAACATAAAGTATACTTGTAATAGCTTTTGTATTTTAAAAATATATTTCTAATACACTAAAGTATACTACTTTTTTACCTTGGTGGGCACAATTTGACATGAGTTTTTAAAAGGTTTAGTTAAAATCTTACTTTTTAAAATGGCTTTTTCGTATTGCTATCTAAAATACTAAAGTGCTAGTGCAATAGATGGGAATCTGGATCATGATGGGATTATGTTCCATATTTCCAGATTTTAATCTGTTGAATGGGGGCAGCTCCCATGATCCTTTAGCATGACACAGAGGTCAGTGTCAGCCATATTGATTTGATCTCCATGATTGCTGTATCAACAAGGTAAGTGGGGCTCTTAAAAACGCCTTTTTCAACAGTCTTGAGCCCATCTGAACAGTTATAACTCATTTGTAGTGTCTTATAAAGACTTTAGGCACAATTTGACATGATTATTTAAAAGTTTTTAGTTGAAATCTTACTTTTTAAAATGGGTTTTTCGTGTTGCTAGCTAACATGCTAAAGCGCTAATGCAATAGATGGGAATCTGGGTCATGATGGGATTATGTTCCATATTTTCATCTAAAATAGTCCTCCTAAAATTTCCAAATTTTAACTTAGTGTTTTTCTTCTCCAAATTTGACTTTTGGCCCATGTCTTACTTGCAGATGACCATCCTCACAACATCTGTGTTCAAAAAGTGTCGTCAAAGACCCCACATCTCCAGGTTCAGGCTCTGGCGCTACTGCATTATGGCCTTATTTTTGCTTTTCACTCCACAACCATCTTGTGGATTGATTATATTCTCAAGCTCAGTGTCACCAACATATGCAGCAGTAGGAGAAAGTGTGACACTCACCTGTCTCTTCAAACTTGCTCCTGAGGACTTGGGAGTTATCCATATCCAATGGTGCATCAGGCCTGCAGATAGCTCTCAAGATGAAATAGTCGTCGTCTGGTATGCTGGAAATCACATCTATGACAACTATGATCCATTCGGGCATAGAGTTAAGTTTGTGTCTCCTAATCCCGCAAGTGGCAATGCTTCAATAAGGATCACTGACTTGAAAATGACAGACACAAACACCTACGAGTGCAAGGTCAGAACACTTCCCGGAATCAGGAGCAGCATCATTCACCTGGATGTAATGAAGAAGCCAACTAAACCTGATTGTTATGTGGAGGGTGTGGTTGAGTTGGATCGCAGGGTGCTGTTGAGATGTAGGGGCACACAAGGCAGCCCCCCCATCTTGTACAGATGGTCCATGTATGGCACAGACAAGAGCCTCCCCTTTGATTCCACTGTGGATTCCACACAAGGTGACCTGTCTTTAACAATCACCAAAGAAGTTGCCCCAGGGACCTTGGTCTGTACAGCTCAAAACCTTGTGGGCATGAAGTCGTGTCAGGTAGACCTCAGGTTGAAGACGTCACCAGGCGTTACAATTACCGCAGCAGTCATGGGGGCCACGGTCTTCATCATCATCACAGCCATCATCGTTTTCTTCTATAAAAGAAGGAAGGTGGAGAATTCAGGAAATGAGATCTTAGAAGACCAACTGCCTCCCCACAAATGGCTGCCCAAAAAGGCTTTTCACCAGGCTGTGCCTTCTGGGTTTGCCCCTTGTGCAAGGAAGGTGCGTAATGTGAATGTGGAAGTCAGTAGATGTGAATGTGGAAGCCAGTAGATGTACTTGCACTAATGGAGCAACTCTGAAAACTGTTCAATTACATTCATGTTTTCTTTTCTGTAAATCAGGAAGTCAAGATCAAGGCGCAGTGGAAGCAAAAAGAAAAGGAGGAGGAGGATGTGTATGTGACAATGGAATCCACTCAGAAGTAATTGTGTCAAAAAGAAATGTTTTGAGCAACAAGTTCTGTGTTTGTATCTGCTGCCTGTGTTACATTACATTTTGTCCAATGGAAGGGCAACCTTAAGGACACTTTTTATGTTTTGTTAAATGGAAGCTCACCCTTGAGGGCACTCAGAAACCAAATTCCGGAGTCAGGAATTTTGAGTTGCAGGGGTGAGAAAACTAAAAAGAGCACCAGCTGTATCCAGCAGGGCTCGTTGAAGGAAGTAGGAAGTTCCGAAGCAGCACTGACCGCATGGTGAGTTAGAGTCATTATTTCTGTTTATCAGGCACCCTTCAAGGCACTTTATTTTACGTTTTGTCCACTGGAAGGGCATGTTTGAAGGCACTTTTTGTGTTTTTTTTTCAATGAAAATGCACCCTTCAGGGCCTTTTTTTTTTAAAATGTTTTGTCCACTGGAAGGGCACATTTCAGGGCACTTTACATTGTTTTGTTCATCTTGTTAATGATCATGTTGTTTTATAGGAGGACTCTGCAATTTTGGTTGTCCTCAGTTTTTCTTTTTTTCTTGTCCAAGGAAATAAATGTTTCTAACAGTGTTTTGCATGTTTATCTCCTCCTCCTGCTTTTAGTTTTGGTAAAAATTCAAGAAAATGTACAAAGAATTTTGTTAAACTTTCAAGACCATTGAATAGCCATATAGAAATCCTAGAGCACTCTCAGAGAAACATGTTCCCAGGGAAGGGCTGCTGCATCAAAGACAGGTTGTGTGTCAGTCTAGGTACATATTATGATGAGTTATGAAGCCAGAAAGTGCTTCCAAATTCTCATCTATGGGGGTGCTTGTAGATGCAAATCTGGAAGAATTTCAAAGGCTGATATTTCAAAGACAGTGGGTGGTAGCAGACTGATTCCAATAAGAAATGGAAGCTTGGAGATTGCTGCATCAAAAGCAGGTGGCTGCATCACTCTAGGTAGACGTAATGATGAGTTATGAAGCTGGGAAGTGCTTCCAAATTCTCATCTATGGGGATGCTCATAGATGCAAATCTGGAAGAATTTCACAGGCTGGTATTTCAAAGACAGTGGGAGGTAGCAGGCTAATTTCAAGAACAGTGGAAGCCTGTGGAGTGCTGCATCAAGAACAGGTGGTTGCATCACTCTAGACACACGTAATGGAACTAGTCAGACAGTGGGAGGTAGCGGGCTGATTCCAATCAGAAATGGAAGCTTGGAGATTGCTGCATCAAAAGCAGGTGGCTGCATCACTCTAGGTAGACGTAATGATGAGTTATGAAGCTGGGAAGTGCTTCCAAATTCTCATCTATGGGGATGCTCATAGATGCAAATCTGGAAGAATTTCACAGGCTGGTATTTCAAAGACAGTGGGAGGTAGCAGGCTAATTTCAAGAACAGTGGAAGCCTGTGGAGTGCTGCATCAAGAACAGGTGGTTGCATCACTCTAGACACACGTAATGGAACTAGTCAGACAGTGGGAGGTAGCGGGCTGATTCCAATCAGAAATGGAAGCTTGGAGATTGCTGCATCAAAAGCAGGTGGCTGCATCACTCTAGGTAGACGTAATGATGAGTTATGAAGCTGGGAAGTGCTTCCAAATTCTCATCTATGGGGATGCTCATAGATGCAAATCTGGAAGAATTTCACAGGCTGGTATTTCAAAGACAGTGGGAGGTAGCAGGCTAATTTCAAGAACAGTGGAAGCCTGTGGAGTGCTGCATCAAGAACAGGTGGTTGCATCACTCTAGACACACGTAATGGAACTAGTCAGACAGTGGGAGGTAGCGGGCTGATTCCAATCAGAAATGGAAGCTTGGAGATTGCTGCATCAAAAGCAGGTGGCTGCATCACTCTAGGTAGACGTAATGATGAGTTATGAAGCTGGGAAGTGCTTCCAAATTCTCATCTATGGGGATGCTCATAGATGCAAATCTGGAAGAATTTCACAGGCTGGTATTTCAAAGACAGTGGGAGGTAGCAGGCTAATTTCAAGAACAGTGGAAGCCTGTGGAGTGCTGCATCAAGAACAGGTGGTTGCATCACTCTAGACACACGTAATGGAACTAGTCAGACAGTGGGAGGTAGCGGGCTGATTCCAATCAGAAATGGAAGCTTGGAGATTGCTGCATCAAAAGCAGGTGGCTGCATCACTCTAGGTAGACGTAATGATGAGTTATGAAGCTGGGAAGTGCTTCCAAATTCTCATCTATGGGGATGCTCATAGATGCAAATCTGGAAGAATTTCACAGGCTGGTATTTCAAAGACAGTGGGAGGTAGCAGGCTAATTTCAAGAACAGTGGAAGCCTGTGGAGTGCTGCATCAAGAACAGGTGGTTGCATCACTCTAGACACACGTAATGGAACTAGTCAGACAGTGGGAGGTAGCGGGCTGATTCCAATCAGAAATGGAAGCTTGGAGATTGCTGCATCAAAAGCAGGTGGCTGCATCACTCTAGGTAGACGTAATGATGAGTTATGAAGCTGGGAAGTGCTTCCAAATTCTCATCTATGGGGATGCTCATAGATGCAAATCTGGAAGAATTTCACAGGCTGGTATTTCAAAGACAGTGGGAGGTAGCAGGCTAATTTCAAGAACAGTGGAAGCCTGTGGAGTGCTGCATCAAGAACAGGTGGTTGCATCACTCTAGACACACGTAATGGAACTAGTCAGACAGTGGGAGGTAGCGGGCTGATTCCAATCAGAAATGGAAGCTTGGAGATTGCTGCATCAAAAGCAGGTGGCTGCATCACTCTAGGTAGACGTAATGATGAGTTATGAAGCTGGGAAGTGCTTCCAAATTCTCATCTATGGGGATGCTCATAGATGCAAATCTGGAAGAATTTCACAGGCTGGTATTTCAAAGACAGTGGGAGGTAGCAGGCTAATTTCAAGAACAGTGGAAGCCTGTGGAGTGCTGCATCAAGAACAGGTGGTTGCATCACTCTAGACACACGTAATGGAACTAGTCAGACAGTGGGAGGTAGCGGGCTGATTCCAATCAGAAATGGAAGCTTGGAGATTGCTGCATCAAAAGCAGGTGGCTGCATCACTCTAGGTAGACGTAATGATGAGTTATGAAGCTGGGAAGTGCTTCCAAATTCTCATCTATGGGGATGCTCATAGATGCAAATCTGGAAGAATTTCACAGGCTGGTATTTCAAAGACAGTGGGAGGTAGCAGGCTAATTTCAAGAACAGTGGAAGCCTGTGGAGTGCTGCATCAAGAACAGGTGGTTGCATCACTCTAGACACACGTAATGGAACTAGTCAGACAGTGGGAGGTAGCGGGCTGATTCCAATCAGAAATGGAAGCTTGGAGATTGCTGCATCAAAAGCAGGTGGCTGCATCACTCTAGGTAGACGTAATGATGAGTTATGAAGCTGGGAAGTGCTTCCAAATTCTCATCTATGGGGATGCTCATAGATGCAAATCTGGAAGAATTTCACAGGCTGGTATTTCAAAGACAGTGGGAGGTAGCAGGCTAATTTCAAGAACAGTGGAAGCCTGTGGAGTGCTGCATCAAGAACAGGTGGTTGCATCACTCTAGACACACGTAATGGAACTAGTCAGACAGTGGGAGGTAGCGGGCTGATTCCAATCAGAAATGGAAGCTTGGAGATTGCTGCATCAAAAGCAGGTGGCTGCATCACTCTAGGTAGACGTAATGATGAGTTATGAAGCTGGGAAGTGCTTCCAAATTCTCATCTATGGGGATGCTCATAGATGCAAATCTGGAAGAATTTCACAGGCTGGTATTTCAAAGACAGTGGGAGGTAGCAGGCTAATTTCAAGAACAGTGGAAGCCTGTGGAGTGCTGCATCAAGAACAGGTGGTTGCATCACTCTAGACACACGTAATGGAACTAGTCAGACAGTGGGAGGTAGCGGGCTGATTCCAATCAGAAATGGAAGCTTGGAGATTGCTGCATCAAAAGCAGGTGGCTGCATCACTCTAGGTAGACGTAATGATGAGTTATGAAGCTGGGAAGTGCTTCCAAATTCTCATGTATGGGGATGGTCATAGATGCAAATCTGGAAGAATTTCAAAGGCTGATATTTGAAAGACAGTGGGAGGTAGCAGACAGATTCCAATCAGAAATGGAAGCTTGGAGATTGCTGCATCAACCACAGGTTTCTGTGTCCGTCTAGGTACACGTAATGATGAGTTATGAAGCTGGAAAGTGCTTCCAAATTCTCATCTATGGGGATGCTCATAGATGCAAATCTGGAAGTATTTCAAAGGCTGATATTTCAAAGACAGTGGGAGGTAGCAGGCTGATTCCAATCAGAAATGGAAGCTTGGAGATTGCTGCATCAAATACAGGTTTCTGTGTCAATCGAGGTACACATACTGATGAGTTATGAAGCTGGAAAATGCTTCCAAATTCTCATCTATGGGGATGGTCATAGATGCAAATCTGGAAGAATTTCAAAGGCTGATATTTCAAAGAAAGAAGAAGGTAGGTGGCTCATTACAAGGCCAATGGAAGCCTGTGGAGTGCTGCATCAAGAACAGGTGGCTGCATCATTCTAGGCACATGTAATGGAAGTGGCCATTCCGTTGCTGGAATGGGTCATTTCTGATGTCATAATTGTACATTCAGACAATTGAACTGTCCATACGGATGTTGGAATTACCATTCCGGCGTTGGATTTGACCATTTTGATCTTAGACTTTTCCATTTGGATGTTGGTATGCCCATCCAAACTTCTGAATTCGCCATTCTGTGGCTCAAATTTGCAATTCCGACGTTGGAATTGTCCATATTGTTGTTGAAATTTGTTATTCAGACATTGGAACTGATCATTCAGACGTCTGCAAGGCCATTCCAATGTTGGAACTGGCCATTCCGATTTTGGGATTTACCATTCCAAAGATGAAATTGTCCCCATACATTTCACATTCCAGGATGGAACTTTATGTCTGGAGGTGAATTGTGGAAGTTGTAAAGCGGGCTTTGTGAAGGTGCTAGAGACTT